TGCCAGTTGTCACTGGGGCCATCATAGAGTCGATCTGCCCCTAACCAGAGTTATGGAGCCAGTAGGATGGCTTAGAAGAAATTGTGATGTTCTAGATTTAACGTGTTCCCTAAACCCATGAGATCTGTTGAAGATGTTGTAGAGGGGACCAGCAGAGGGCTTCAGGCTGAGAGCCCTGGGGTTAGAGTATGTACTCATAAAAGCTGTCAAGTATTTTGGTCCCCTCCAAAGCACGTAACATGAAATGTACATATGAAATCAGCTCTGTCTGTAGGTCATGGAAAGACACTGGCCTGGGTATTTCTGCTCCTGTATTTCATATCAAAGAGATGCACTGAAGATAAGCCTTAGCAACAGATGCGAAGTTTACACGGGCAAACAGCAAAGTAACTGGTATTTCTACTCTCTTTTTCACTTCAATTAAAAACACTAAACTACCCGGCCGGGCGTGGCTCAGTGGTTGAGCGTCAACCTAGGATCCAGACGATCAGAGTTCGATTCCCAGTCAGGGCACATGCCCGGGTTGCGGGCTTGATCAATGACTTTCTCATCATTGATGTTTCTATCTCTCTCTCCCTCTCCTTCCCTCTCTCTGAAATCAATAAAGATATATTTATAAATAAATAAATAAACTAAAACTATCAATAAGCCCTATTTTAAAGGCCTTTATTCATTAATGTCAGTGTCCTATTTTAACTGGGTGGAAATCAGGAAGCTAGAGTAGGAGGCCAAAGCTTTGATTTTTTGAAAGGAGACTAAACACGCATAAGTGAGCTCTGGCTGACTGCAGGGGGAGGCCGGGGGCTGGCCTGCCTGCTCAGAGCCTCACCACCCTGGAAGCAATGAAAATACCGAGAGGAGCAGGGAGCGAAATGATAACAAAACCTCTCAGTACCTCAGGGGACATGATGTGCCCCTCACTTAAAGTGCATGGTGGCTCTTCCAGAGAAATGTGTGTGTAAGAGAACAGAAGTGAGAAGTGAGCCCCCATCACCACATCCCATTCAGTGCCCACCATGTGCTCCACGCATTCCCCGTGTTCACTGCTGTCCAGAAGTTTTCGTCTCATGGTCCCATTAGCCCATCACTTCCTAAGCAGATCATTATTTAGCTTAATTAGGTGCTGGCTTTTAAGAAGACAACAGAAGTAAGCAAAACCCTCCTTAAATTTTAATGAAACAGGTGAAGCTGACTGTGTGTCAGTCATCTTTCAACATAAGCTCTCTGTTGCCAAGACAGTAGGTGAACCTGGGTGGTTGTCCTTGTATAGCATCCTGGGGATGGCCTCACATAGAGCACACAGGGAAGTAAGTGACAGAACAATACCTCATGGAGTTAACTAAAGAAGTACTTAATAAGAATTGACAGCACAAGTAAGAATACTGTTTTTTAGTGAGGACCAAATAAATGCTGCTGACTGTAAAATGATTATTAGACCTGAGTAAAGTTTTGTTTGATATATTTAGAAAATGACAGGACCCTTTTTATCTCAAAGAACAGAGAACTCCACGCCCAGCCTGTTTCTTCATGTTTCCTTGCTATAGTCTTAGCACTGTGTCTTGAGCTTTGGTCTATGCTGGGACGTTGGTTGGGTATCACATGTGCAGCCAGCCAGGAGTCTCAAGGAAGTATTTGTTTGGTGTCACAAATCAGCTAAACTTTTGCTTGGTGTGTTGATACCAAAAGTTGATGTTCTCAGGGGAGCCTCTGCCTTAGCTCAAACATTCGTTTGTTGGCCCCAGGAATGGAAATGTGGGCCAAGTGTACTGGTCCATTAGAGCACTGAAATTAAGTGTGGAAATAAAAGCAATGGAATAATATCATCATCAAAGCAAGCACTGTGGGGTCACAAAAAATAACCTTCCTCTCACCTAAGTTTTTCTAACTGGGCTAATAATCCAATCAACACAAGACAGATTAATAGGAGAAAGTGTCAGAAGGTTATGTTACAGATGTACATTTGGGGGTGCTGTAAGGTATGAGACCCAAAGAGGCATTGGGCAGCTGAGACTTATACGTCATCTTGAGCTAAGGAAAAAGGGATGTGTCTGTGGGGCGGGGTTGTGTTTGGGACTTCAAAGGACAGGAAGGCAACTCCTATGGAGATGGAAAGCAAATGTTTGCTAAACTTTAGCAGTGGGACACAGTGAGGACTTTGATCAAAGGGGCCTTGCTAGGTCCCTCCTTGTCTATCACACCTGGTTCAGATTAAACTATAGTTATCTATGACGACGGCTCCCTTCCTGGAGCAGGTCCTCTATCTAAATTCCTTTAGACTTAGACAGGTAAAGGGAGAAGGTCAAAGGTACTTTCTGAGTCTTTTGTTCCTTAATAACCAGCTTAAAATAATCAATATTCCAAAGGCATCTTTTGGGGGTGGCAAACTTTGCTTCCCTTCAGCACCAAGAATAGGATTTCACCAAATCCTTTTATATTGTCCATTTACCATTGAATATAATTGCGAACCTAACAATGATGATGATGATGATTTTAATAGTAATAGTAATAATAACAGGGAATAAATCTGACAGCCAAAACTGCACGACAACATGAGTGCTTACTACTCTCCACAAGCTCACATGTGACTCTGTATGCCCTAGATTGCAATTAGCTTTAATTCACTGAGCTAGAAGTGTGTTTATTATTTCCTTCTGATTTCTAAAAGGAGTGTCTTCTATTATATCGGTGTCAGGCACCTGGTACCTCAATACATTAATTAAAGCACTGGAGTGCTTGATTAAATCATCAGCCACAGCAATAAAATGGCAAAGAGTAATCATGAAAAAAATCCACCTGAGGTCTCAGGCTGTGTCTTAGAGTTCAATGCATGCAGTAAATCTCTCATATTTTGTTGGTAGTTATTTTCCTTTTGTGTTCAGTGTAGAGAATGTTGGGATTAAGTACATATTAAGATTGATTTGCCTACAACATGCAAGTGAATTTTCTGGAATATTATATATGATACTGTCATAAAGACAGTTTTAAAGAAGCAATAAGTTCATATCCTACTATTCTATTAAGCCATACAGTTTAAGATATGTTATATGTGAGGCCACATTACAATCTCTGATGCTTGCTTAATAGAAGGAAGATTTAATTAAAATTTTCATGGTCACTATTAAATTACCAATCAGAAGTAGTTGGAACAATTAACCATCATTTCCCCTTATAAGATGAGGCCACCTGCATGCTCCAAGCCCATTACTCTGCTCTGTCTGTGTGTCAGGCATTGAAGATGCTACATTTTCTGATTTGTTCTGTGTTACTCCCTGGTATTTTGGAGGAGACAAAAGAAAGTTTGAAGTATTAAAGTTTATTCATGATTGTGTGGTCAGTGTCTATGTCATGTCCTCCAGGACCTACTTGGGCAAAGGAAAGAATGCACCTCTGGGATGTAAGCCCATTGGGTACCACAGGGGTTCTCTAGGTGTCAGGCCTGCCTGAGCTCTGCGAGGACAGCAGTTCCGAGGGAGACCCTCACTTCCCGTGGGTCTTACAGTACTTCTCTCTGTGCTCTCTTCTGGGGCCTTGCCTTTAGCCTTCGAGCTTCAGCCTAATAGTCACTTCTTAAAGCCTCCCCCACCCTGTCCCCAACGCCAGGCAGAGTTTCTGATTCCTCCCC